ATTGAGAGAACTCCAGGATTTAACAAACACATAGCTGAGAGCCATCGCTCTGTGGTCGCTCATAAGTAAGAGATAAGATCTTAAAGCCTGGCTTGGGGTCCTCTGTGGCATGAGAGTTTGAACCCAAAAAAAGTAAATAAAAAGCTCCGTCTAGTACACAGTGTGAATTCCAACTTGAAACGAAAATAAACTTTGATTGTAACAGCTCTTTATTCACTGGTATTGGCATCTCAAATAGCTCAGAGAAAAACTGTCAAGAGCAAGTGAAGTGATGACTGCCTTCACTGCGTATGTCGGGTAGTTTGGGGGTCTCAACGAAGCAATCCGAATGAGCTCCCTGGCCCCACCATGTTTCTGGGTGATAGGAGGAGTAAGAAGGTGCTGTCCACGGGAATTTGGGCTCAGACCGAGGCCATCCTCTTGGCCAGCACAGGCCGGTTAACCCAGCTCCTTCGGGTTTGTGTTACAGGGATCATGTACCGCAAGTCATGTGCATCCTCCGCCGCCTGCCTCATCGCCTCTGCTGGGTACCAGTCCTTCTGCTCCCCAGGGAAACTGAACTCGGTGTGCATCAGCTGCTGCAACACCCCTCTTTGCAACGGGCCCCGGCCCAAGAAAAGGAGCAGCTCCACCTCAGCCCTGCGGCCGGGGCTCCCCAGCACCATCCTGCTCCTCATGTTAGCCCTGTTCTTGGCACATTGCTGAAGCCAAAGGAGATGCCGGCCTCCCCTGCAGTGTTCTTCTGGCCTGCCACCCCCCTGCTCCCCGAGATTCTTCTGGATGTCCTTCAATTCCGGGTAGGGAGGGGAATCTGTGTTCTTTCGTTTAGTTCCTTTGCAAATAATGAAAGATCTGAATGTGAACAAATTTTTGTGAGCACTGAATCAGTCCAGGCTGACTGAATTTACAGTATGTCCTTGAAGGAAGGGGAGTGAAAGTCGGCCCTGTCTGTCCCCAGAGTCGAGGCCAGGCTGGCAGAACCAGCCCTCAAGTGGGCATCTGACTTGGCCCAGGCCCCTGGCTTCCACTCCTGTCCCTGGTGGGGGCACAGCTTCTTTGGTCACTACTGCGTGAGGGTAACGCTGCTTTCACTTCGGGAGGGCGGGTGGTTAGCACTCCAGGCCTCCCTCCTTGATAGTCACAACTCATGCTCCTGAAAACCATTCTCCATGGCGGGGCTGGCTGGTTTAGCCGCTGAGTTGGATTCTAGGGACTCCTGGCTCACTGCCTGAGGCTCGGGCTCGGACTTGGCTTGGTTCTGAAAAGTACTTAAGAAAACCCTGTTAGTGCTCCTTGCAGAGGAACCGCGCCGGGAGGCCAGGAAGATGAGCGGGCGCCGCGTGGAGCGGGCGCCGTCCACGGCCGAGGCCGTGCCGGAGCGCAGGTGCTTCTCCTGGTTGGCGTGCGGCAGCGCCAGGCGGCAGCACAGCACCTGCCGGAACACCTTGCGGAACTGCTGCGAGGACACGTTGTACAGCAGCGGGTTGACCACCGAGCTCAGGTAAAAGAAGGTGTCCGCGAAGGGGAGGAGGATCATGTACGCCCGGAAGTAGGACTTGGTCCAGTCGTGCTTGGGTTTGGCTGCAGCCATGATCCTCCGAACCTGGTTAGGCATCCAGCAGACGGCCAGCATCACAACAATCAGCCCTGGGCAGGTGGGGGGAAGAGAACAGCCACCTCAGACCAACAACACAACACTTATAACATACTTCAGCCCCTCAGTTCTGTGTTCACTGGCCAGGAAATGGTACCAATTTTTCAAGTTGTGCTTGACAGCTTTTTTTTTTTGCCACTAGCAAAAAAGAATTTAACACTCTTTCAAGGCCGGGGGGAGCTGACTGTGTTAAAGACCATTAAATGCTTTAGACAACTTATTTATACCTGCTGATGGTTGTTAATTTTAAAAATGTTTTCACTGTGGTTTGTGTATCCAGAAAGCATTTTATGCAGCCCATAAATCTGGTTTTGTCCTTTAAAGACTAGATGGATACAGTGGAGCCATATCAGATGAATGCTTGCGCAGAGAAGACCAGTGATATTTTCAAGACAAAGGGAAGTGGTGTCCCTTTGGGAACAAAGTGTTCATAGCGACACTGATTTTGCATTCAGCTTCAGGGGAGGCAAAATCAGGAGTAGCCTGTCTCCAGGAGGGTGTTTTTTGGAAATAGGTTTAGTAGGTATGGATACCTGTAATTACAACGCTCATATCTATAACAGCACTTCTGTTTCTTTTCGGATGTTTTTATATATATCATCTCTTCCACCCTCATAGAAGGAAAAATGTTACTGGAAAACAATGGAAAGTATAAAATTTCCTTCTTCAGCTGGTAAGATGCTCACTGCTTTTGTGGCACTGAGCTGTAGCAATGTCAGCAGTTCAGAAAAGATCAGGCCCTGAAGAACCACCCACCACTCAGTGGACCCCTAAGCGGGGATCCGTTGACTGCTGGACAGATGTGCGCATGCCCACAAAGCCGCTGTCCGAATCACAGTCATTGCTCTTTCCACAGCCTCTGACAGAAAAAGATGCCAGGTAACCACAGACAACCGGTATCACAGTGTTATGAGTATGTATCCACAGTGACCAAAAAGGTAAAGAGAATAAGAAAAGGAAGGTCTTGGGGAGCTAAGACATCAGAATGTCAGTTTCTACATGGAGAGCTGGTATCTTAAAGCTGTGTTTTGATTTTTCACAAATTTTTCCTCCAGCACCTAAATTTGAATTTTTCCTTGTTATATTACTTATTCACATTTTCAAAGCTCTTTGCTTTTCTAGGAAACAACAGGGAAATTATTGTTGGCAATGACCCCTCTTGCCTTTGATCAGCAGTAAATATTTCATTAATAACTGCTCCAGGAAAAACAGCCATATTTACCAATCCAAGGTTGGCTCTTTCACTCACCTGAGCATCCCCTTACCTGGTGGTGGGGAAGGCCCTAGGTATGTTCTCTGGCACTGAAATAACCCAGTTTTCCCAATAACAAATCCTCCAAAAATCCCAGCTGTCAGCAAAGAGGACCTTGGAAACCTGCTGCCCTGTTAATTTCCAAGGGTTGGTTTTTGTTTTTTTTTAATCCTGTCAAGCCTGAGCCCAAATTTGAAATACAAACCAATTTGCTTATTTCTTTCCTTTGAGTCTGTTCTTGTTTGCTACCCTGAGAACACTCAGTAAATCTAAAAATAGGCAAAGTAACATTGATCTGATGAAAAGGCAGAAAAAAAATCACCTTAAGTCAAGAGTGTATGCTGAAGCACCTAGTTACAGCTGGGAACAGAAATCTTTTTCTGATAACCAAAAAAAAACCAAAAACAAACCTGCGCAGGAAATCGGGGACTTTCCTTTTCCATTGCTTTAAGAGGCACGGGTGCTTCCAGCCACCTGTGCTATTCCAAGTGTGTTCTTAAGTTATTTCTCCTTGTTTTTATCTCCTACAGCTCTGACAGAGAGGTTCATCTCATTAATTGTAAAGGAGCCAGGAAGCTCACCATAGCTAGGGAAGCGACACATCTTCACAAAGTTTTTTTTTTCCTCTTCCTTGCTACTGAAGTTGAGAGAACAAGTAACAACCCTCTTCCTCCGTGGACTGATTGCCTAGCGTATGGCTCTTGAGCACAGGGTTTTAGATGTGTGCTGTGCTGAACAGTGGGAGGTTGTACATCAGGTGGCAAAACTACAGAAAGGCAATGAGAACCACCTTGTACTCACCACAGGCTGAACACAGCAGAGCGTCTAAAGGCAGGGATGTGGGGCAAGAGATGTGATGAAAGTGCTCTTCTCCTATCCTGTCTGTTCTCGCGACCTCTTATTTACATGTCCCTCATGCTCCCATTACCGTCACCCCCTTTGCCTGGTGTCAGTTGTCCTTGATCGACTGACCCATCAAAAGAAGTAGAGTTCCGTAAAAGGCAAGACCCAGCACCCCAGGGAAGAGGCAAGGAACGAGGTCAGATGAAGGATTGCGGACGGTTTGTAGTTTCAGCCAGGAGAGAATCCTTGCCCTGAAACTGAAGCAGCTAAAGTAAATAAGTAGGAGGTACCTTAGTCTGAACAAGCAGCAGAAGATGAGGTAGCATACCAGAGATTCTTCAGGGATGAGAAAAAGAAGGGAAATTTTGGCTTTCTGGGTTTAGAAGTAAATAGATAGGAAAGCAAATACAACTTTGGAGGACAAGTGAGACAAGGAACCGAGTTAGAAATGGTCAGGGATTAAAAGACGAGGCCATCAGACAGGTCATGAGCTGTAAGAATGATGCCGATTGTTTACTGAATTTTCCCCATGTCAGTTTCAGTGCTCTCTGCTAATTTCCTGTGCATTTCTCACTTCTAACAACAGCCTGCTGAGATCAAAACTGTCACCTCCGTTTTATAGGTGAAGAAGTTGAATCTTAGTTACCCCAGGGCTATAGCCAGGACACGTGCTTGCTGGACTCCAAAATCCACAAGAGATATAGATACACACACACATTTTTCTCAAAGATGCAATATTGTCTTTCTCACGGTTTCAGTTTGAAAAATAAAACACAAAGCAAGACTAAACATGAGCCAACACTCCACCATACATAATAGATGTTAAGCAGCACTGTCCACTAGACATGTAAGCCACAACTATAATTTTAAAATCTCAACCACACTCGAAAAGTAGAGACAGGTGAAATCAACTTTCTTAATCCGATATGCCCCAAATATCATTTCACACGTGGGTTCAACATGCTACCAAATGCGATATTTTACAATTTTTCATACTAAGTCTTTGAAACCCAGTGTGGCTTTTATAGAACACTGCATTTAGGGCCACCCAACTGGCTACAGCACAGGTCCCTTATCCTTCATGGTCTCTCCCCAGAGCAGCAAGGCTCTTTATTTCCTCCTCTTCCCAGCCACATACCGAGAGAGTCCTGCCAAACCAAGGAAACACCCCAGGAATCCCCCGCCTGGCCTGTATTTATCCACCTAAGATTCTGATGATGGAACCAAGGTTGACTTTTGGTCTTATTTCTAAGTATGCATTCCCAGATTTATCTAGTCTTTTCACATAAAGCCTTCCCTATAGGGGGACTACAAATTATTTAAGGCCTAAGTAGTTCTGAAAGCACAAAATTGTGTTTTGCATTCCTCATTCTAAGCCTTGCCTAGTCATTCTAGAATAACCCAGATGGTGCCAAGTCTCTGCCAGGGCTGCTAGAATATAATACACTTCCCCCGTCTCAACTGGCTAGGACCTTTTCTCCTGTGCTTCGAAAGATTTTGTTCTGGAAAGTGGGGCACTGGGCACACAGGTACAGCCAAGGGCAAGTGTGAGGTTGTGTCCAGGGGCAACGTCGTAGAGGTTAGCCTTTGGGAAGGAAGGAAGAGAAGTCAAAGTAGTCCCCTTACAGAACTGACGCTTTGAGGGGAGGGTGTAGCTCAGTGGTAGAGCACATGCTTAGCCTGCACGAGGTCCTGGGTTCAATCCCCAGTACTTTTCTTAGAGAAATACATAAACCTAATTACTACCCCTCAATAAAAAAAAAAATTATTATAAGTAATTGTTCATTTTCACATTTGAAAACACATTTTTCATTATTTTAGATAACACATTGCCGAGAATAAACACCATGTCCAAAGGTGACTTTTTATTCTGTTTAACAACTGGTTCAGCTGTATTTCCAGCTACTCTGAAGCTGAGACCGAAGCTTTAAAGTTTTACTCATGCCTGAATAGCATATATTAAAGATTTAACTAAATTTACGTGTGGCTGAAATCAATTTGGGCTTGTATATTACATTTAGAAAAATCTATAATGCTTTGGTCTGTGTGGTGTCATGTGTAGCCTGAAGTTAAATAACTTCAGTATGAACTTGAGTGAAGATCAGCAAACTGAACTCAGTCATGTAAAGCAGGTAAACTGTTTTAAGTGCATTAGTGATAGATCGGTACTGTACCCCTGACAGCCTGGCACTCTGGGTGAAGAAATACCTTCATATCTTACCTGTTTTTCCACATAAAGTACTTCCATTTTTCCTCCTTGATCACTACACTAAAATGACAAGAGCCATTAGGCAGTGACACAGATTTACTCTCGGCAGCGTACTGTTGTTTAAAAAACAGAACTAATGCAGATGTCCAACACATACCGCACTGAAGCCTGACACTTCAACAGCATTCAATTCAGCCTGCTTGGCTGAGTCTTCAGAAGTGCATTAAGCTATGCTGCCCGGGATGTGGCTGAATGCACACCTCTGACACTATGCTGTGTTTTCTTCCCTCCGATCTTTAAAGTGAAGGAACCATGTGTGTCCCAGAACTCATCTCCCCATCATCAGAGAATGGGAGAGCAGACAGAGACCTTGCAGACCAGTTCCAGAACTCCCTTGTCCTACAAGTGACAGAACTGAGGCTAAGTGATTCACCCAAGATCTCACAGGTCAAGGTGGCAGGACCCCCACTACCTTGCCATGCTGCTCAGAACACTGGATTCTACCCGAGATTGACAGACAAGCCTTTCATTCTTTTTAAACAAGAGCACGATTTTTCGGTTTGTTTTCAGTTTTAGGCTCAAGTGCTGACTGTTCCCAGGGTGGAATGCAGTGAGAGGCAGGTCCATCTCCGAACCCAGCTCACGTCCGCACCGCACCTCCAGACACTGTCCGGATTCCGTTAGAACCA